GTCATACAGCTGAGAGACCTGTCCTACAGCTGAGAGACCTGTAATACAGCTGAGAGACCTGTCCTACAGCTGAGAGACCTGTAATACAGCTGAGAGACCTGTAATACAGCTGAGAGACCTGTCTTCTATAGACCCCTGAAGACTCACCGTTCTGCAGGGTCTGGGCTCGGGACTCCTTTCCAACACTGATGTGAAAACCAGAACCAAGGAGCGGTGCTTTAACTGGACCTGAAACAGAAAGATGGTGGTTCTATCAGATAAATAAGGTTAAAAAATAAAATTTAATAAAAAAGATCAAAAGAGTTTAAAGCAGCGTTTCAGTTATAATCATTCAGGCACCTGGTTCCTGCGCTCACTCGTTATGTTTCTGTTTATCTGCCTGAGGTCTGTTTCACAAAACCAGGATAAAGGATGAAGTCAAGATTTTCAGATATCCTGGTTGAATTAAGTTTTTGACAAAAGCAGCAACTCATAAGTTACCATGATTTATCCAGCGGTGTGCGACTGCTCTTCTGAATAAATGAAAACTATGTAACACAGTTGTTTACACTTCAATTAAAAGTATTTGACCAAAGGAAAAGCGGAGCAGGACTAGAGAGAGATAAATATGATTTAGATTTTTATTTCTGTGACTGTATACGACCCACAGGAGACACAGCGTTAACAGCACATTTCATTACTCAGCTTTAGCAAACCTTCAATTCCACAGCTGACGCTGCTGAAAATGCTCTCTGAGAGCAGGACTTCAATCTCCGAACTCGTGAAGTTCTTCTGTTTTACTTTGCGATGTCATTTATGAATGGACTTCCTGGTATGTGGGGCAGGAAACGTAGCCTTATATGGTGTTTTTGGGGTGGTAATTATGTAAATCACCTCTCCTCGTGCACGAGCAGCTGATACACATTCATCAGTTTACGCTCTTAATTTACACACTTTTCCTGAAGATAGAAGAGTTTGTTGAATCTGATGTGGCATGTTCGTTCGAACAAAAGTAAGAGAAATTTAGGATAAGAATACGAACGTTTTTGCATGAGGCCCACTGTTTTCTGTTCAGAGTAGTTAGAGAATGTTTATTTTGGGCATTCAGGTGATCCACTGTTTGCCATGCTCTTGTCTCTCCTTTCTAACAGCAGCGGTGTTTCTTTCTTATGATGTGCTTCATTTCCTCATAAACCTGCATCAGAAGATGTTCTTCATTTGGTGAGGAGTATGGAGCACACAGTTTATCCACTGTAGAATGAGTGAATCTGTGATCAGGATGAACTGATCAAGTTATGTCAAGCCTAGATTTATTTCTCAATTCTGCTTTTGGGAATCAGCCCTCTGGTCCAGCTTCAGCCTCCAGCTATAATCAGACTCAATCAGCCCCAGCTGTGGGGCTGATTACTGTGACAACCAGGTGATTAGCTCACATGTCTGCAGTGGCTCAGTTTTTTTCTGCAGAGACACAGAGCTGCCGGCTGTTAGTCAGCCTCAGTTTCAACATGAGAACCACTACATTTGTTCCCAGGTGAGTTTCACCTGCTCAGGTAAAACGTTAACCTTCCTGCATTTTTCTCCAGGTGAGTCTAACCTGCTCAGGTATAATCTCCTTGCTGTGTTTATCAGGCTGCTATTGATCTACTGTTGCTTCCTGAAAGCATTCAAAGCTGGAGTCCCATTGGATGGTAAATTGGTTTTGTTGGCDCCTTTGCTTCCACTGCTTTTGCTGGCCCCTTTGCTTCCACTGCTTTTGCTGGCCCCTTTGCTTCCACTGCTTTTGCTGGCCCCTTTGCTTCCACTGCTTTTGCTGGCCCCTTTGCTTCCACTGCTTTTGCTGGCCCCTTTGGTCTTAGACTTGTTGAAGACACACCTGAATCTCTTTAGCAAGTTACACCTGAACATTTAACCAAATATTTGTGAATTTGGGGGATGGGCGGTGGGTAAAGACGTGTCTAATTTAGACTTTGTAAACTTAAGGTTGTTAAAAATTTGAGTTGTGTTCTACATTCATTGCACCTGGATAAAATGAGAACCAAATTAATGACATCCAAGCATATGGGTGGCACGATGGCTCAGTGGTTAACACCGACACCTCACAGCAAGAAGGTCCTGGGTTTGATCCCCGGTTCGGACCCGGGGTCTTTCCTTGTGGAGTTTGCATGTTCTCCTCGTGCTTGCGTAGGTTTTCTTCGGGGACTCCCGATTCCCCCCCCCAAACAACAAAATAACATGTACAATAGGTTATTAAATTAATAAAATGGTAAAGGGGGGACATATACTTCTAACCATGGCTGTAACTACCAGCAGATGCATGTAGTGATTTTGTCAGCAGGTTTGGTTCGATCAGAGTGTCGAGATAGATACCTGTGGATCCAGGTGGCTTCAGCAGAGGAACCTAGCTTTGAAGCTGTAGGTCAGTTCATTAGTTTAATGTTGATGAAATGTATTCAGTGTCTGTAACGTCTCATCACTTACTGTTCTGTCAATGACCTTCATCTGTGACATCCTCATAGATGAAGACGGAGTCCATTCCATCAGCGAGGAGCTTGCCTCGCGCTGTGGGTACACCATCAGCACCTTTAAGATGGATGGCTTCACCACCTTCAGAGCTTCATTCTATTCCTGCTTCACCCATAATCAGGTAACTGAGGTCCACAGGTCTGCGGATTCTGAGACCTGTGAGGTTTGCCTTGACCTGGTGATATTAGATGTTCAGCTGTGCCTAATTTTTTTTATTTATTTTATATACAGAACGATGAGTTGTTCACCTTCAGGTTTAATGTGATTGTAAGTGAAGGGGCCAGGTGGAGCAGTCAACCTATTTCAACAGTCTGTTCTGGTCTCTCCTGGACCCACAGGGAGATCACTTGTGAGGAAGACTACATGGAAGTTAAGAGATACCCTGTTTAGCAATTTGTTACAGTTAAACAATGGACTGACTTGGTTGAAGATCAGGCAATGCGTTTTCTTGGCAGATAATTGTGAACAGAGAGTCTTCCTGTGGTGGTGAGAGGGCAGAGGGCAAACAGGCATGGCAGGAGGCCCTCTTTCAGGTAAATCGTTCAAATATTACCATTGATTTGACTGGCAGAAGGCCTTGAGTGTTCTGGTCCTGGATTCATCTTTAATCCAATAAAGGTATAGATCTATGGAGCTAGATCACAGGTCTGAGTCTAAATTCTTTAAGTTCCTCCAAATGGAAAAGCCTTTTTGATTCTTTATTTGAATTGGTAAATTAGCTGGATAAATTCCCCTACAAGCCAACAGAACAGTCCTCTGTACAGAGATCAAACTGCTCTGAACGGTTTGCATTATTCAGTGTTTGACTGCATATTTGATACTCTGTGGTTTTCAGGCTCAGAGAATGGCCAGTTTGACCTGGCAGCTCATGTTCCTGCAGAATGATGGACAGATCTCATTCATGTCAGTCCCTGATGCCCAGAAGAGGGGCTACAGCCTTACTGCCACTGCCCACAGGGTGGTCTTTCGATCGCCATACAAACAGCCACATGCTGAGGTCATGATGGTAGGTAACCACAGATACCAACACAGTCCCCACCCCACAAACATTTGATGTCTGAATCCAGATATTCGGAGACAAATAGGGCTGGTGTTGGACTAGAAACTAACTGCAGAAAAACCTGAGCTGGAAAGCTGAGAGGTGTTTTGAAGCCTTTCATCATTCTACCACATGTAGACTTTTACTTTACAAGGTCTTGGAGATTAACTTAACAGCCGCCTCCTGAAAACTTAGGAAGATCAGACATTTTGGATTCAGTTTTGTCCTGCAGTCTATTCTTGTGATTCAGCTCAGAACTGACTGTAATCCTCTCAGGTGGACGGTGTCGCTGTCAAGGTCCTCCAGGTATCTCTGTTCTTTAAGCAGAAGCTGGTGGTGGTGATGATTGACATGTCCATGGTCTGCACAGTCCGTAAGTTCCTTTTTAATTTATTTTTAAATCTCCTGAACAAGATTCTGGCTGCAGACTGAAGCTGACCATGACTCTGCTGGACTCTCCTAGATTCTGAATTGTTTGACGACACCCAGTTGCTCTGGAACGTTCCCCAGGTTCTTCCTGTTCTGGTTGGAAAGGGAGCCAGATTTGAAAGTCAAAGCTTCAGATTAGGATTGGGGGATGCACTGCTGGATAAAGTTGCAGCCTCTCCTAAAGGTCTTGAAGTGGTTCAGCAGGGAGGAATGGTGGAAATCATAGTTCCTGTTGGGACAGAAGGAGGCTACAGGAAGGTACTGTCTCAAGGGCCTAGACTATGAGAAGAGTTTTATTGATTTGAGCCATTTCTCACTAGAACATGTGGCCCTCACCATTAACATTTTTGGACAAATAGATTAATTAAAGGGTCTAAAATCTTTGAATCATAATGAAATATCATTGACCTCATCCATTAATCAGTTTTGCATTGTAGTATTGTAGAGTATTGAGCTGGTTTTGTTTTTGAAGTTGGTTGTCTTATTTCTACATGTTTGCACCAGCTGTCTTGATTTATGGTTGATTGTCATGATGTTGTTGGACCCCAAGAAGAGTAGTCTCTGAGACAGAGACTAAAGGGGATCTTAATAAATAAATGACTTGTTTAACAACCAATCTAAACACTGATGTCCCACTAGTACAGCAAATGGTTGGTAGATCTGATTATCTGTTCTCCTTTGCAGAGTTTGGTGGAAGACAATGTCTACAAGGAGTTTTATACAGCCCTCCTGATGGGTGAACATGTATTTTCTTTGATTTATGAGGATGACAATAGCATCGACACCAAACACAGAATTCTGAAAGTTCTTGAGACACCTCTTATTTCCCATCCACCATTCAGCCTCAACCGTAAGCTCTCCAGAGTCATAAAGACCAAAAAGCTGTAACTTTTCTCCAACTGAGTGTTCAAATGTCTTCCTGCAGAGACCACAAGTGACAATCAGGAGTTCAGTGTCTACCTGGGAAACATTCCAGCAGATGTCATACTGGAGAACATCTGGATCAATGGGAAGCAGATGTTGGGGAAGTCAGAACAAAACCTCAGCATCAGTCCAATTGTTCATTTAAATGGTAGTCAAGCATTCAAACTGCGACTGCCCTTTGATAACGCTGCTGTGCACTGGATGGTAAGAACACCACACAGATCTGTCCCACTTCAGTCTGGTTTCAACAGCAATGTCTCCTTAGAGGCTTGCTAAGATCTGTGGCACTGCTGTGATCATTAAACTGTTTTTTAGTGTTTTACTGATCTTGTGTCTTCAACAGAATTTGGGTGGAGGAGTAGTGCAGTACTCCATAGATGTAAACTTTACTTTGACCATTATGCCCCAGAAAGAGTCCTACTTCCACCAAGCATTCATCACTACTCATGTCTTTAATGCTTGTAAGTCCAGTTCCTTCTGTCTGTTGGACCTCTGAACCCTGAACCCTTTTACACTAACTTTTTATTTTATTCTTCACAAAGTTCCTCCACAGATCACAGCTCAGTGTTTGGATGAAGGGATCTCTTTCACCATAGCCAGTCAGTCACAGAGTCTCTGGGAGGTGGGCATTGACAACGAGCCTCTGACAGCAGAGTTAGTGGCTCAGAGGGGGTACCATCTTCATAATGATAGCCACAAAACTACCTTGGAAGTCCCGGTTTTCTCTGTTGGATACACTTATGAGGTAAAAAAAAAAACCCATTCCTCACAGGTATACTGAAACAACCAATCTTTGGTTCAGCTTAATTTTGAAATGAATTGAAGCAAATAAAAGTTGTTACAGAACGTTGGACTCTGATTCACTGACACAGTTTACAGTTCAGTTTAAATATTACACAAAATTTGAGAATTTACAGCATCACCCACACACGTACAAGAGAAACAAGCAACCAATTTACAAAATCAATCCCAAAAGAAGTGACACCCACACCACCACCACATGAAGTAAAGAGAAGCCACCTAACTATGTATAAATTGTACGTTTTTTTTAAAAATTTAAAATCATTTCATCTGGAGCAGAACAGTGGGAGTTTCATTTAATGAACCAAAGTTTTACTCAATCTTTTATGGGCACTTTGTCTCTGGTTAGAATTTAGGCAGGGTAACTCTGAACTTGGCTCATTTCAGTTTCAGAATCCATTGTACACCAGTGCAATTTGTTTTTCAGGACATCAACTTGTCGAACTTCTATGCAACTTTTAAGATTAATATAAGAAACTCCAAAACCCTGGAGGTCCAGGCATCTGCCTCCAAACGCTGCCTTTTCAGAACTGGAGACATGATAGGTAACCAGACCAAATCAGTAACTTTAATTCTTGTTAGTCCTTGAAGGTAAAATCAATCCATTTTTCCTATCCTAACTGCACTAACGTTCTCAATCTTTTTGGTCAGTGTGTTCTGCAGATGGGACCATGACTGTGGTAGCAACTCCAGCTTCCACCTGGCCTTCAGTGCAACCAGAACGAACCAGTCTGCTGGATCGTACTTGCAAACCCAAACAAACCAATGGAGCCAGAGTTCTGTTTGAGTTCAAGCTGAATTCATGTGGCACCAAAACAATTGTACGATTTTGTTTCTCATGAAATCGTAATCCCCAACTTACACTAAATGCTCTTCCACTGCAATGTTCAGTTTGCTGCTATTTGTTTCCAATCAAATCTGCACTGCCTTCACTGAATTTTTATTTTGTCAGCCAATATAAGCGACTAAATCGCTGCCAGGTTTTGGGAATGCTGCTCTCACAATGACTCTAGCTAGTTCCTGCATGTGTGTTCAGCAGTGCTGCATGCTGAAAAACGTCCCCCATGGAACAGTTTACTGTTGGGAGTGATGTAACATTTTGAACGTGTTCAGGTTATTTAAACCAGAGCTTCTTGTTAGAAAATTCATGACAAAACATCCAGTATGCCGCCAAGCTCTAGCTGCCATCTGCTTCCCAAAGTAGAATTACAAATTTTGATTTGTGTGTATAGATGGACGGACGGCGCGCTAGGATTTTGAGTTTGTTTTTGTTAAATTATTTTTGAAAACACAGATGTTGTGCTTGTTCCTTTTGCTGTTGGTGAAGTGTGATTTTTGTAGATTGACTCTGGACCAGCATCTGGCAAAAATTGGATTGTATCTAACTGTGGATCACCGCATGCATGCTGCCGCCATGTGGCACCAGTGCTCTTATTGATTATAGCAATTGCGTATTTACTGCTGAGGTCGGAGCGGAACAGCATCCAGTGTAAATTGAGATTGAGGGTAAAGCAACATAACCCAGGAGCCTCAAAACTGTACAGATGTGATGTGGAAAACTACAAGCATAAGTCTTAACTCATGCTGCACAAGGATTACCTCATTCAAATGTAACCACTAAGGTAGAGGTTTTAAACACTGTTCCTGGTGACCCACTGTCCTGCATGTTCCAGCTGTGTACCTGCTTCAACACATCCGATTCAAATAATTAAATTACCAACCAACTCAATGTCAAGTTTAGCAGCAGCCTGTAAATCACTTCCATTTCAGTCAGATGTGTTGAAGCAGGGAAACGGCTAAAACGTGCAGGACACAGTAGGTCACCAGGAACAGGGTTAAAGACCTCTGCATGAAGGCTTGGATAACACATTTTTATAACAGGTCGGGGACTGGTATGTAGTTTATGAGAACGAGATCCTCCATGATCGACTGCTGATTGCTGATGGACCAAACTTTATCTCCAGAGATCCTCAGTTCAAGTAAGCACACCAGACCTGTATAAGAATGAACTCCTCCAGAAAATGTTGTAAAAGTGTATCTGACTCTCCCCAAGGGTGACTGTGAGATGCTTCTATCCTCTGAGTGCAGTCAACAGAGTTTCTATGGACCGGGCTTTCTCCTCAGCAACTCCTGGATTTGGATCAGTGAGAGTCTTTGAGAGTCACAGAGGTCAGTTCTTCACAATGTGAGACTCGGGCTTCAGTTACAAATGCCTAATGGATTCTCTCTAACAGATTCAGTCAACAAACACCAGCATTATCCTAAACTTCACCCAAACCCAGCTGCAGAGGAAATTCTACCTCACTTGGACATCAGGCCTCGATCCAAACCAGGACCGAGCCCTGTTATCACAGTACCAGGAGGACAAGAGCAACTACAATTTCCCACAAACCAGGATTGGTCCTTACAATATCAAATCAGCCAAGATCCTCAGTAAGTTTTCTCAAAAGCAACTAGATGCAGACCATAGAGAATTTCCACTAGAAACGTGATCATCTCCTCACTGGTTGGGTCAAAGCAGGGCCGGATTAACACTTCGCTGTACCCTGGGCAACAATATTTAAGGGCCCCATCATCACGACCCCAGGATTACCAGTCTGGCAAAATACAGAGTAAATTATTGCAATATATAGTAAATATACTCGATACTTCAGATTCTAAGTGTATTTTCATGTACAAATGCTCAGAATTACAAATACAGCCATCTTGTCAAGGACACTCCTTCACATGATGCTATGAAAACAAAACACATCAATATAATCTGGTGAACATTAGGGCTGTGTATTGGCAAGAATTTGGCGATATGATACATATCATGACAGGGGTCACGATACGATATATCCCGATATATTGCGATACTGTAAGCAAGGCGATATATTGCAATTTTGTCCAAAAATTCTATTAAAAACCTCTTACTGGGAAAAAAAAATGAAAAACCAAAATTCATTGTCTCAGAAAATTCTAATATTACATAGACATACTTTTGATACATTTAGCTGTGTTCTGCTTTGTATGTATTTTATTTTATTTGTTTCATATTTCTTATTTCATCCATTTTCAATTATTAGACTAAATTTGCCAATAGTTTGAAAATGTATTTTTGCAGCTTTTAGTTTTTAATATTTTACAATATGGTCACCCAACACTTAACAATAGCCTCTACTTCGAGGTAGAGTAGCCAAAGGGCTGGTTCACTACTTCCAACTAGTGGTCAGAGGCTGAACTACAACATAAAAATGAACGGCTGGCAGGAAAGTTGACATTTTAAACCTTATTAAAAAATCAATACAGGGCCTTAGAATATCGACACAGTATCGGGAAATGAAATATCACGATATTTCAGTGTATCGATATTTTCTTACACCCCTAGTAAACATGACCCACTACGTTGAGATCGAGGGAAGTGTCCTGCAATTTCACAAAAGCAACACTTGACATTAAGCAACCCTCTCAGTCACCTGACCCACCTCATGTGGACTGACCAATGAGAAGATCTCAACTCACGTTCACAGTGACAGGCAGCCTCTGTGCAGCACAAGAGCTCCAACAGACAGTTTAACAAAAGCAGGAGAAAACCAGATATTTTGCTGGTGCCTTCATTCAAGGGTGTAACCATCATCTCAGAAGTGAGGGGACACATTTTTAGAGGTCTATTGAGTGATTTATCATCCTCTCTTATTAAATCACACACCTCTCCTTAGTGGCTAAAACACATAATTACTAACGGCCACAGTACAGTTCCACTGACTGACTTTAGTTCTTTAAACTACTTATTAACAAAATCTAAAATTTTAGTAGCCAAAAGGTTGCCAGATGGAAAACACCATTACTGTAAGCAAACATAGACTTGAATAAGAAAACTACCCATCCTGTCCACTGTCAGTCTGTGACAGCACGGAGGAGCAGAAACAGACCAAAAACAGCTCACAGCCTCCATAGAAACTTATAAACAGCAGCTGAACTGGAGCTGTTTTCATAAATTGTCATGTTTTTACAATAAATTAATAATTATGTTAATTTCATTCAATCATGTAAAACAGCAGATTTATACCAGAAAAATAAATTATAAATTACAATGATCTAATCCAGATGTGAAGATTAGACTTTAGCTAGTTGAAAAATGACTTCAGCTAGTAATAAAATATATTTATTTCTTCTTACTGTCATAAAAAATATGAATAAATATTTACCAGTCACTAAGAAAATGTTCTCTGTATACCTTATGGTATGAAACTTGTCTTTGTATTAGCTAGTTCTCAACAGGTCAGGTTTCTGTAACAGGAACCTAAAAATACATTTATAACATTATTTTACACTCTGTATGTCTAAATATTAATCAGACATTTATATTTTACACTCTGTAGGTCTAAATATTAATCAGAGGACAAAGTAGCATTTAATAGTTTGTTAAATTGTAGCATGATTCAACAGATCTGTATATATGCTCCACAAGCTAATATCTGCTAACCAGTTCAATAAATTGATTACATCAACTTTATAAGATTATTTTAATTTTAAACTSTTACATTATGTTCTGCTCAGATCACATTGAATAAGATCAAATCTGCTGACTTGTGTTGTAAAATTAGGTTTTCCTGTTTATCTTCTGTTAATAAATCCATAACACAAACAGCTTTTCTGACATTATTTAAAACATTAGATTATATAAACTGTAAAATATTAATAATAATTGGATTAATATTAATAGTTTTAATGATTTCTACATCGTCAGTCCTTTTTTTTTCTGCTCTGTCAACATGTACAGTAATGAGAAATCCAGACTCTTGACCATTGGCTTCTACAGCCGATCACAAGGTCAGGTGGTTTCTGAGCACTCCAGTTGTTATATATTCCTCCATGTAAGCAAATTATTACTTAACTCGATGTAGGCTCATAAGACAAAGAATGGCATAAACATAGAAAGWGACAMAACACTAAACACATCAACATTTTAGTAAATGTGAACGCAAAGACATGCAAAATAAAGAAAATTTGAATGACCCATACCTGCTGTCATTAAGAACACAAATAATGCAGTAGTCAAGTAATATATGAAAATAAATAATAAACAAAACTGTCATACATTTATATAGTAAACAAAAATGAAACTACATCTTTAAACATCCATGTCAGTTTTTGCTTTTGAACTAAGACTATCAATCATCTCTTAACTACTGGTAAATAACAAAATGTGATAAATTCTAGATTTATTTTGAACCAAAGTAGAAACAATAATAAAATAATATTTTGGAGAGGAGTACTTTTGAAATATCTATGAAAACCCTGTCCTGATACCTGTCTGGTTTCTCAACATGTGATCCAGTCATGTGAGTTAACGTCCATCTTTCTGTGGTTAATTCTCTTAGACTCTGTTACAAATTGTCAAAAGTAGAGACTTCAAACTATACACCAGTTTTTAAAGATTGTTCCACTTCAAGAATAATAGTCATAATTTCTCCTTACTTGAGAAGTCTGCATTTTGATCCCTGCTGCTGTAGGCTATCTGGTCTGTCTCATCCCTGATTTTGTTCTGTGGTAATGAAGATTTATTTTAAATATGTGGAAAGCAGCCAGCACAACTTCTGCACATAAATGAAAGACGACTGGGTTTAGCTTGGCAAGGGGTGTAACTGGTAACAACTAATCATGTTAACTAGCTAAACATTATATAATGTGTAACTCCTCATCATTTAGCTAACATTATCTGCCTCCAACAGCATGACTCAACTTACATGGTTTGTTTGGTAAAAACTGTGCAAAGTTTTAGTTGCTCTTTACACCGGGAGGCTCTGCTCAGCAGAGCAGCTCCTATCAGTCATCTCATCTGCAGGAGTAGCTTGCGCACGCTTATGGTGCGTTCAAAGACGGCTCAGAAAAACGCATAACCATATGTTAATGGATAAAACAGCTGTTACGGCTGAAAAAAGTGCAGAGACAGAGCGCAGATGCAGGAAGTGCGGGAGACATGTCCATGCATATCCTGCATCCGTTGTGTCCGTGCCTTCACTGCCCAGGGCCCTTTGGAGACTGCGGGGCCCTGGGCAATTGCCCATATGGTTAATCCGGCCTTGGGTCAAAGGGTTTAGGATCAGGCAAGAGGCAAAGGTAGTACATAAAACAAACTGAAGATCACAGTTCTGGCAAAGATTCTCTCCATGGTTTGTGATTTCTCTCATCCTGGTAAACTGGTGTTACAAAACCAGAAACAAGAATTCCAGTGTCTGTTCACCCTTCTCTCCAGATCTTACTGGTTACCCAGTGGTGGGCCCCAGTGGGTTCAACTCAAGGCACCAAACCAGAATTTTGAAGGAGAGGAATGGGCAACTTCAGGACCAGCCTTAAAGTCATTTAAACGTTTTCCTGGTGATCATTTGGAAAGTCAGAAGCTTCAAAGTCTGGCCAGCTTCACTGAAGATGCCAGGAACTCTGACCTACCATGGGGTCAGTCCAGTTTTGGTCAAAGTAACTTTAATCAGCAGAATCCATCCCTGCAGAGACCTCTCACTGACCTCTCCTTTGGTATGACAGAACTAAGTCAGCCATTTTTGAGTTTTCATGGGCCCTCAAACGGTGAGCTAGAACTGGTCCACATGGAGCGGCCAGTTTACCAGCATCAACCTCAAACTCATGAGGTCCATCCTTTCCAACAACCACAGGATCACATCAGCACTGAGCTACTCCAACCTGATGAACGCACAACACTTGCTCCTGTTGGTTTCAAAACAAACATCCCCAACTGGTCCAAAGTCCTGCAGGAGTCTTTCCACAGTGAACAGGGCACTGGAATCAGAGATGTCCAAAACTTGGGAAGCCCTGAACCTTTCGAAAGGACTGAGTCTAGAGTGCAGAACATCCGAGTAAAGCCTCCAAGCACATTTATATCTCTTGTCCCACATCTTAACCAAAAACCTGTTGTCCACCAAACTCACTCCCAAAACTCGAATCCCTCCCTGTATCCCACTGATTTGACAGCTGATGGGAACCAGAGGACCCCCCAACAAACTGAGCTCAGAGGTCCAACCATGGGAGAGTTATATGTTATGAGACCAGATGTTTTAACATTGGCACCAAAACAAGTGCAGGAAAATGTTCAGGTGGAACAGGTGCAGAAATATGTAAACCTGGTGGAGCCCCGGTCCAGACTGGTCCAATCGTTAGCTGAGAAAGAAAACTCGGAACAACCTGCTTCAGGTGTCTCCCAGACCTCAGGTAAGAACTGATTCTCATCAGTCTTTTTCTCATATTTTATTTTGGTTTAATATCTGTCAAACACCTTTCTTTTATCATTAGAAATATCTCACATCAGAATAAGACCAGTTGGACTTCAGTCAACAGTTCAAACTCCGAACCAGTTTCCACATTCTCAGAATCAACAGCATCTGACCAAAGAGGGAAGTACCAGAACATTTCATCAGACCAAAGATAATATTGATGACCAAAACCCAATCACAGGAGAGGCAAAGTTCACTCGTCTTCAACCTTACCCTGAAGGTTTAGAAGATTCAGAACTACTTACCCAAAGCAGGCTGAGCTGTGGTGATGAGCAAGGTCCAGATGGAGCCAGTGTTTATGAAGGCATCTTCAGAGGTATTACACTTGGTTCTTAATCCAGATCCTTTTGTTAAACACTCCAGTAGTTTGGACGTCTAGATGACTTTTATTTTGGAAGCAGAACTCCTGGTTCTTAAAAGACTCATGGGGTACCTTCAGGTACAGTTTTGGGGTTGACAGAGCTGTGTCCACCATGGCAGCTGATGCTGAAAACCTCAGGTTCAGTGGCTCCACAATGTTAAGTATGTGGGTTCATCAGATAGATGCACTGTTCTCAGAACTGATTACAGGTCCTGGTCTCACCTGTAACAAACCTGAAGATCTCTGCTGAGACCTAAATTCGGATTTAGACACCAGGTCCTGTATTTATCAGACTTAGAAAATCTCAGTTCTTGGCTCAAAGCTGGGTTTAAGTCAGTTATCAAGCATCTCAGTCTGACTTAAGCAAAGTGCATGACTAAATCCTAAGTGTTTTCTTAGAGCTGATTTCAGACTTTGCTGCAAAGCTGATCCTGGACGATGTTAGAAAACCCCAGGTAAGAACCGATCACTGCATCAGATTTCATGTTCAACAATATTCTAATGTTAGTTGTAAAAATCCCAACTTCATGTTCAACACAGTGTTTGTACATGTTATATTGGACGGATTGTTTCTAAATTACAGATTTTAGAGAAACTTCAAATTTTGTTACAATTCAGAGCTTGAGGAAATGTTGATTTTGCACTCTCCTCCTCCGAAGTTTGATAAATGTAGGCCCTGGTTACTTAGAGTGGAATTTTAGATTAAACTCTGAAAGTTGGGAGTAAATTTAGGAAATTCTCAGCACTTAAATCCTAAACGCGAGTTATTTTTCAGACAAAGAATCAGTCTTCTCCTCCAGAGGTTAGGAGTTGCCAGTAGGGGTTTGAGGAGAAATAAAGACAGAACACACTGCAGCACCTCTGAATCTGCACTAAGTGATTATTGTTATACTGTACAGAGTGACCACATCACAAAAGACCTCACAAACCAGGGAGCATAAAGTTGACCTCAAAGCAGAAATTTCTGTGCTGCTTTTAGAGCTCTGAGCTGTAGAAAACTTTAAAGCCGAGTTTTCTCTAAACGTCTGTATTCATGCACAATGTGGAAGTTTTCTGTAATTTAGTCTGTTCAAGGTGACGTATGAATGTTGAGTGAACTTATTAGGATTTTATCTTGACATATAGTCAGAATACTTTTGAACATGAAATCTGATGCAGTGATTAGTTCTTACCTGGGCTTTTCTAACATCCAGGATCAGCTTTGCAGCAAAAACTTAAATCAGCTCTAAGACAACACTTAGGATTTAGTCCTACACTTTAAGTCACACAGATGTTTTAACTGACTTTGAAGCCAAGCATTGTTTTTACACTTCAGTCTATTCTTGGGAGTATTTTTAAGAAGTTTGATAAATATGGGCTCTGATCTTTACAGCAGCTTAGAAAAACCCAAGCATCACTGAAGGACAAGGTCACATAGTTAAACACAAATAAGAATCTGAGACTGGAACAAAGGTCTTGAGCTGGATTTGAGATCTGCTGAAATCAGTTTTATCTGATGTGATGAAAACCAGTTAGGATCAAGGAATGGATCTTATTGAGAACTTTGTGCCTGATGAACATTCATTTATTAAAATCCACAAATCTCCAACAGTCTTGAGTTAAATCTACACACATGAAGTGCATCTTTAATTTGATGTGACAGTTTTCATTGTTCCAAAGTGAAAAGCACAACTTCACTTTTAAATAATTCATGTGAGTGGGACGTCTGTAGGTTCTGGTTCCAAATGTCTGAGCAAAAAGGACTGAAGCTGTTCAGAACACTACGTTTAATTTGGGTTTCACAACTATGATAAAGAACCTGAGTGGAGAGCAGAAAGGTTCATTTAGTTCTGAAATCAGACTGAAGTTCTGTTCTGACAGGTTGCAGTAAAGCTCAAGTGTCGACCCGGCTGTTCCTCCTGGTAAAACTGATCGTGTTTCTGTCTTTGCAGGAAAGCAAACCATCTGAAGAGGAAACCATCTGCTCACTAACAAATAAAGTTTTCTTCAGTCACCTGTCTCCTCTGATTCTGTTGGACTGTTCAAATCGAGTCGATGGGGTTGATTTGTAGAGTCAGTGAGGTGAAGTTTTTGGGTGTAGTGATTGATGAAGGGTTGACATGGAGACCTCGCATAAATTAAGAACAAAGATGGCTAAATCTATTGCTGTTCTGTAAAAAGTAAGGGAGTTATTTAATGATAAAGCACTGTATATGCTGCATAATGCAATAATAGGTCCTCACCTGGTTTACTGTATTGAGGTCTGGGGAAAGCATGTAGGACAATTACAAATCCTGTTTTTTTTTTATATTATTATTATTACAGGAAAGAGCTATGAGAATTATTACTGGAGAACATTGTCACCCATCAAATTCATTTTGTTAATTGAAAATATTGAAGTTCTTTGATTTGGTTGATTATAATCTACTGGTTATGTGGCCCACAAAAACACATTCCCTTTAAACATCCAAGTAAATTTCGTTAAGAGTTGTTATAACCTTAAAGCAGGGGTCTCCAACCTTTGTCCTTAAGAGCTACTTTCACAAAATGACATTGTCCGAGCCACTGTTTGCAACATTTAATTAAAAAAAAAACCCATTGGAATAAGCTTGTTTTGCACAAAAAATTGTCTTTAATTCACATGAAACCACCATAAACTGAATTTACATGAATGTGCTTTTTGTGTTTATCCATTTATATTATGTATTTCACACTAACTTAGGGTTTAACTGCAACAGATTTGTGCACAAATAATGCCGGGTGATGGGTCTCCGATTTTTTTTCCGCATTCCGTGGGAA